CTGAGGTTTGGAGGAGTCTGGACTATCACACTGTAGCCAAAAAATATACTCTTTCCCTCCCTGGGGCGGATGGACAGACAGACTGACCTCATCCCCCATTCACTCCTCTGTCAGTATTCACTTCCACAGAGTGCAAATGCCCCATCACACACGAATGTATCCATGCCAGAGGTGGAGGGGTCTGGGGGGCCTGTGGCCCCCTCGCCATCCCTCACCCACGTGTCTTCTTTTTATATAAACAAAGGAAAAAAACACCCACAAAAAGTAGCAACCAAAAAAGAAATAGCAACCAAAAAAAAAAAAAAGGAAGGAGAAGCCCTCCGAGTTTACAGAGCGACTTGTTTCTTGTCCGGTTGGGTAGGAGAGAACGAGGAGGGGAGGAAGGTCACCCTCCTTGTCCCTCCACCTCGGGGTACAGCAGGACGGTGGGTGCCGGGTGGGAAAGGGGAAGCGTTCCCGTGCTACAGGGACTGGGGTGTTGGCGGCTGCCGTGATTCACTCCCACGCGGGGTCTTGCGCAACCCTCGGCCTCTGCTTCCTCCCTCCTCCTTGCCAGCTCCCGCGGGACTGAGCGCTCCTGGGCTGTGGGTGGGCACTGGGGGATCCCCCAGGGGTCTCCGGGGGTGTTGGGGTCCCGGGAACGCAATACCAAAGATGAGCCTGTTGAGGTGGGTGTTGGTGAGGTCTGGAGGGGGTTTAGGGGCTGTTTGGGGTTATTTCGGTGGAGGGGTGGATAACTTATTACTCATTTCTGTGTGGCGGAATTGTATCATTTTATGGCTCCACTAAGAAAAAAAAGAACCAAAAGCCAGCTTTTTTTTTTTATTTAAAAAAGAAAATAATATTCTGAGCAGCTTCTGCCGTGTCCTGTGTCCGGTGGAATACCGGGGGGGGGGTTCCGAGGATGGGAGGGGGGGGGGGGGGCTCGGCCCCCCCCCCGGGGCTGCTGTCCCCGCCCCCCCGGGCGCACGTGCCGCCCCCGCCCCTCCACCCGGTTTCACAAGCGCGGGCACCGGCGGCCCCGCTGATGTTTTTCTGTTCGGGACCGGGCGCATGGCGAGGCCGCCGGGGCCGCTCCTCCTCCCCCGCCTCCTCCTCCTTCTCCTCCTCCAGTTCGCCGCCGCCGGGCGGCCCTGTGGCCCCTCCGGTGAGTACTACCGGCACCGTGCAGGGTGGGGGTGGAGAACCCGACCCTCTCCGGATACCGGGGCCTCACGGGTCCGGACACGGCGAGGAGACACATGCGGTTCCCTACCTGCCCCGCAGGAGCCTGGCGGGTTAAGGTGGATGCTAAGGCTGGGGGACTGTGTCCTGAGTGCTGTGTCCTGGTGCTGGGTGGCTGCTGGATGCCCTATGGTGTGTCCTGGCTGCTGTGTCCTGGGTGCAGGGTGCGTTCCCAGCAGCAGGAGCCGAAGGGAACAGCAGGTCCACGCCGGCCGTTGACCTTTGGAGGGAGCTCAGGCCTGACTGGGGCCGCCAGCCAGCGCTGCCGCTTAACCCCTCCGGCACTACCCGCCCCAGTCTGCCACCTCCCTGAGCCGTGCTCTCCACCGCCAGACCCCTCAGTACACACCGCGTTTGATGCTGCGGTGCCCGTCCCTACGGCGGTGACGGTGGTCTGGTGCCCCACTCCGTGGGGAACTGCTGCCTCTCTCTCCAGCTCAGTGCCTTGCCCTGAGCAGCCACTGGACGTGGGGAGCAGATGATGGGGTGACCCCCACATCTGGGGACACTCACTGCATTCGAGGTCTCATCTTGATCACCTGACCCCCTCTTGCCCTCACAGGACTGTCGCGGGATGTGGTGTTGGGCCGCCTGGGAACCAACATCACTTTGATCTGCGGGGACGAGGTGCCCGCAAATGTCACAGTGTGGTGGCAGGTGGAGGAGCGGGGAGCAGCAGTGCCGGGGGGCCGTGGACGGCGGCTAGCGGAGGGCAACGTGCTGCTCCTGCAGTGGCTGCGCTACGAGGACTCGGGGCGCTACATCTGCTCTGTGGGGAGCCGCCTGCTGCGCTCCCTGCGGCTGCTGGTGGAAGGTGGGTCCACACCGGGGTAGGGATGTCCCTGGCAGCATTGCCCGCTATGGCCTCTGTCCTTCAGCACCTCCTTGCTTTGCAGAGCCCCCCGAAACCCCCCGAGTGTCCTGCTACCGACGGAGCCATGACAAGGATGTCCTGTGCGAGTGGCCACAGCAGACGAAGCCATCCCCGGGTACACGGGCAATGCTCTGGGTGAAGCGTAGGTGAGCCACTGTCGCTGCATCCACCATGGGCTGGGACCCCACAGCACAGAACGTGTCCCCATGGACCCTTCCCCCAGTGCCATCTGGAATACCACGGCTCAAGATGCTTCCCTCCCTTCAGACCCTTTTCCTAGCAGCTACTGGGAGCTGGGACCCCACAGCATGGGATGTGTTCCTTCCCCACTGACCCCTTCCCCCATGTTGCCTGGGACCCCATGGCACGGAATATTTCCCTCCCCACAGAGCCTTTCCCCTGTGCTACCTGGGACTCCACAGCATAGGATGCATCCCCTGCAGCTGCCCCATGCCTGGTTTGTTGCGCGCTGCAGCCCCCACTGAGCTGTGGCCCCACAGGTTCACAGCTGAGAATGCCACAGAGCAGCGGTGCCGCTACTTCTCCAAGGCACGAAAGTTCGTTTGCCGGGTGAAGGTGCCACCTGGCACTGAGGACACCAAACACCTCGTGGTGTCCACATGTGTCAGCAACAGCGCCAGTGGCTTGGCCGGCGAAGACAAGATCATCACCCTCAGCAGTGTCCGTGAGTGCTGCCCCTCTTGCTGGGGGCTGGGGTGGCCGAGGGCACAGTGCCAGGCCCTGAACCCCCACTTCCCCAGCAGTGAAGCCTGATCCCCCCCTCAATGTGACGGTGGAGGCGGTGGAGAAGGCACCTCAGCGGCTGCGGGTCAACTGGTCCTACCCCTTGTCCTGGGACCCCCATTTCTACTGGCTCCGCTTCCAGGTCCGCTACCGCCCTGAGCCTGCCCCAGCCTTCATGGAGGTGAGACCCCTCTCCCTAGAATCCAGCTGTTGCTGGTCCCTGTCCAGGCTGTCCCCAACCCTGTGTCCCCTCTAGGTGGATCAGGTGACGACAACATGGCTGGACATTCGTGATGCGTGGCGGGGGACGAAGCATGTGGTGCAGGTGAGGGCGCAGGATGAGTTTGGCCATGGCGCATGGAGCGAGTGGAGTCGGGAGGCTGTGGGCACCCCCTGGACAGGTATGAGTGGGACACAGAGCCCTGAGGGTGGAGGCTCTGTGTGGGGTCCCCCAGCCTCATGCTCCCCTCTTGTCTTGCAGACCCCAGGGACTTCACCTCTGAAAAGGGACCTTTCAGCTCACAGGTGGGATGGCCTCAGCCCTGGGGGCTACCACATACTCCTGTCCCCATGTGGGACAAGGGGATACCAAGGGCGTGGGGGCTGCCCCATCCCATTGTGCACCCCTGCTTTCTTTTGCAGTTCCCCATGGAAGATGACAGCTATGAGGTGACACTGCCCCCAGAGCTCTTCTGGGAGGACCGTGCTGATGGTGCTGATGGTGAGGAGGGGTTCCTGGGTTGGGGGTGGGGGTCTGGGACACCACCCAGGTCTCCCATCCACGCAGTGAGCCCATCCGTTCTCTCTGTGTCAGGGTCTGTCATGGAACCCAGTGCCCACCCTGTGGCATCCCCCTATGCCTTCCTGGTGGCCGGGGGGAGCCTGCTCCTGGGCATTGCCCTCTTTGTTGGCATCATGGTGAGGTGAGTGCTGGGGGGTGCCTGGCCAGGGGGCTCTGTCTGGCCCCCCTGACCCAGACTCTCTGCCCTTGCAGGTACAGGCAGATGTGGTGGACAGGCAGGCAGCGGGGGACCAAGCCAGAGGGCGAGGGGCAGCATATGCTGGTCCCCCTGGGCCTCCCTAGTCCCCCACTCAGTGACACCCCCCTGCTCTCATGCCCCACCCCCAAGGCCCCTGGAATGCTCCACGTCACCCACTTGGACTATTCCTCCTCAAGGCAGTAGCCAGGGGCTGAATGTGCTGGCAGGTGCTTTGGGGGTCAGGTGGGGGTTGCTCGCCCCAGGATTGATGTGATGTGATGTGATGTGATGTGGCTCTGGGAGCAGCTCCCCCCACTATCCGATGGCTCTGTGGCTGGGAGCAGCCTCTGAGGAGGGGAATCAGTGCCACCCCTGTGGAGAAGCAGTTGGAGGGGAGCCCCAAACTGGGTCCTGGAGGGCACCTTCAGAGCCATGGCTAAGCTGGGATGGCCAGTGGTGGCAGCACTGGAAACACGGCTGTGCCGGAGCGTGGGAGCCTGCCCGGGGTCAGGTTTGAGGATCCCAGGGGAAGGGCCTAGTCCCTGCAGTGCCACAGGGGTCAGGGAGGGAGGGGGGGGCCTGGCTGGATCAGCCCCATACTTCTGCTCTGGCCCCCCCGGGGCTCCTTTTTAAAGCATATGTTGGGGAAATAAGACAATGTGGCTCCAATAAATGCTTTGGATTTGTACCGGAATGGATGCTGGGGGGGGAGTAATGGAGGGATCACTGCAGCGCCCCCTTGCCTGGGAGTGACTCCAGTGTGAGGAGGTGAGAGTGGGCTGTGTAGCCCCAGTCCATGCACCCTCTGCCTTGCTGTGCCCCCCCAACTGCACTGTGTACCCCACAGTGTGCTCCCTGTACCTCCAGTGCCTCCCAGGCTGTACCCCCTGTGCTGTGCACCCCCTCCACCACAAACCCCATGCCATGAACCCTCAGGCCATGCCCCCTCTTCTATGCAGTGCCCACCCCACACTGGGTTGTGCAATGCCCCAGAGAGCTGCAGCTGCACCCAGGGAGGAAACCGCAGGGTGAGGGTAGAGGGTGTTCAGGCGCCCTGGGGACAGCGTTCCCCTTCCCCTCCACCGGCCCCCTGCTATAAAAAGCCTAGCAGGATGCAGATGTGTGGCTGGGGGAGCCCCAGTACCCCTGGCCCCCGAAACTGTGGCGACTCTTCCTGGCACAAGCCCCATCCCAGCCATCTGAGACCGCTGGCCCTTCTCAGCCAACAAATTTATTTTACTATATTGTTACACATCCCAGTCTCACTGCGTTCCCCCACCCTGGGCAGCCCCATGGCCTGTCAGCTCTGGCACAGGGTGGTCAGGATTTGTCCTGGCAAAATCCCAACAGCCCTGCTGGAGTCCAGGATCAAAGTCATGACTTTACAGAGGCATTCCCTCTGGACCCCCCCCGTGGCATGTGGCCATCTCCGTGGGCAGATCTGCCCCGTATGACAGGGGTGGAGGTCGCAGATCAGTCTGGGGGGGCATCAGCGGGCACTAATGCAGCTTGCAGTGGACAGGGTGCAACAGGGCCATGTGCTCGGCCCCCTTGAAGGGCAGCTTCTCAGTGGAGTAGTAGTGCACGACCTCAGGGATGCTGGCGAAGACGCCGCTGGCCTGGCTGAGCGTGTACTTGTTGTCCTTGGTCTGGGCTACAATGATGTGGACGCAGCCCTGGCTGGTCCTGGGTGGCCAGCGGGCATCAGCTTTGCCGCCAGCCCCCCCGGCGCCCGTCTGCCCCGCGGCCGCATCCACCCCTGTTTGTTCCCGTCCTGTTCTGATTGTTTCAGCTCCAGGGGCTCCACTTCCTCAGGAAGGAAACGCCACTGGCGCTCCTGACAATGTGCCGGGGAGGGGTACACGCCACCCCCCACCTCCCGCCCCAGTGCCACACCAGGATGCCTGGGGTCCCCCCGTGGGTCTGGGGGTGCCATACCATGGGATCTGGGTGCTCCCTTCCCATCAGGGCTCAGGTGTGAACAACCAGTGGGGATGCAGCATCCCCCAGGTGGGACCCCTCCCCGCATCCCCCCAGGACGGGACCCCTCCCCCCGCTGAGACCGGGACCCCCCCGACTCTGTGGCCACCCTGACACTCACTTCAGCGCGATGGAGTACTTGCCGCTGCCGGTCTCGCTGGTGCGCACCAGGTACCCCGCCTCCCGGCACGTCTGCAACCGGCTCTCCGCCTCAGCCCGCGTGATGGCCCCGTGGTACCAGCTGTGGGGGGACACCGAAGAAGGGATGCTGAGCCAAGGCAAAGCCCTGGGCACCCTGCCCCCCC